TAAATGGTAATTTTAGGACCATCAAAAGTTTTCCTTGCCCGGACCTTTCCTCATTGCAAACATGAGGCGGAAATGATTTCTACATATGTTCTTTCAGATGTCCTGAAATGCACCACAAAGTCTCCTGAAACATGAACTCTTTGCCATACTGAAATGTAGTCATATTCAGTCATTTCAGGTTCATTTCAGGCTACACAAAATTTATCATTTTCCTGCACCGCAAATGGCTACAAAAGTGGTAGCAAATCTATCATTTTGGGACACCAGAAAGCCCCGGTTAAGCCTTCGAAAATGAAACAGTTTTGATGGCTTGACTAGGACATTTCAGGTTATCTGAAATCAGCTCATGCCCGTAGTGCTAACATACCAGTACTGGTTCAACTGATTCTGCCCTCACAAGTAATGACAGCCATTTGCGCCAATAGTGGTAGAACGGACCGGACATGAACCATTGATATTACTGTTGAGCTCCGTAAAGCTGGCTACTACAGCCACCCTAAGCTACGGGTCTGGGGTACTGTTATATGCTAACTACGTGATCTTTGTTCCAGTAACTCTACGACGTCTACGCGCGATGCCCTAATTCTTCTATGTAAAACCAAGTTAAGTTTAATCAAAGCTCGTCCTGGTATCTCTCCCACGCCACCCGATGGGGACAACCCTCTGGATGGTTTCTCGACTTTCCAGGGCCGACGAGGCAAAGCACAGGGGCCGGGGGCGGGATCACGTCGAAGTCATCAAACGACTTCACCTGCTCCAACTCGTACATTACATCGTTAACGCGATCATCATCGATGGCTGCAAGTTCGTCCGGCACCACCTTGTAGATGGCCGTTTTTGCCCTCCAGCTGTTCTTGAGGAACTGTCGTCGTCCGAGGATCCTTCCAATTCCCAGAGACCAGCCCCTCTCAAACTCTCGCAGAACCTTCGTGCGGTTTGCCTCGAATTCGGGTCTGTCCGGAGAGACCATGGGAGCGGTGATGGCCAGTGACCGGATCGTGGGGAGGGGTGGAATGACCAGGATCCTCTCCGGTATGTCTTCGTCCTTGAATAGCAGAGTGGAAGGTCCAGCTATCGGCAGGGACACAGTGGGCTTTGGAGGTGATTTGCGCAAGGAGATGGTGGCGGTTGCTAGGCCTTTACGTCCCTTCTTCGAGCGGGCCTTGGGTTGTTCCGGCGGTGCGGGCGCTGGCTTTGGTGGTGCAGCTTGTGTCTGAAGCCATACTTTGAAGCGTTGTTCGCGCAATTTGGTGCGAGCGATGGTCGTGACAGCTAGTGCCAACCCGACCGATGTCCATTGCCCTAGCCCCTCGGCACCTTCCGCTTCCAAAGCATCCGCACGTTGAGAGACGATGGGACACTCATCCATAATGAGATACTTCAGTCGCGATAACCTAGAAAGCAATCTGTCGAGATCCTTCTCACTGACATTGGTCGTCGAGACGTCGAGAAGCTCCACCGAGGGGAGGGTGCTTTCGTTCTCGGCGATGTGGCGAGCGATTTGGCGGGAGGGTATTCGAAAGCGGAAGTTAGCCACTGTGCTGACGTATGGGGACGCAGCGAGCGTGCTGATAGGGTCTAGGCGAAAGAATACCAAGGGCTGTGCAAACCCCCCGGCCGGAGCTATCTTCGGGTCGAGAGGGTCTTGAATAAGGGAGAGGGTGGGTAGACATGCGCGAGGCCAGCGCGATATAACTTCCAGCGTGGAGTCAAAGTACGCTCCCTTGAGGAACTGCTGGTACATGGCCCTCTGAACACTGCCAAAAAAGAAGTTAGTGCTAACGTGCTCTTCGCAAAACTATTACGTACTTACTACGGCCTGAACCTCAGCTGCAACATCTTCAGCCTCTCTTTTGGCTTCTCGAAGATTTCCTCGAGATGCTCCGGGGCAAAGTCAGGTCCGAAGAAGAGAGTCATCTCCTCGACCTGATGCAGCAGCTTCAGCAGGTTCACGACGTAATCGGCGTGCGCAGTCCAGCATTCGTACGTGAATATGCGGACGCGATCCGCATCTTTCGAGTTCTTCCTCAGTCTCCGGTAAAGGGTGTATGCCTGCCTGTTTTTGGTGAGGTGGATGCGTTCGAAGAGAAGGTCGTCCGGTACAGGCGATCGGGGTATGGCACGGACGAGAGCAACTATCGTCTGCTGTCGTTCGTCGAAACCGCCTTCGAACTGCTCAAAGATTGCCGCGTAAAGTTCTGGGGGAAGCTCATCTAAGCGAGCCATTCAATTCTAAAGCCCGGTGAGAGTCAGTACTAGTGTTGCCGGAAGGCGAAGGGGCCTTAAGCATAAGGCGAGGTAAGGTCGCCTTAAGCCGATTTGTCAGCACCTTAAGACACCTCGAGGCAACTTAAGGTCACCTTATGTGACCTTCAATCAACGCCGCACGTTCGCGCGCGCCAAATCGTGACCCCATACGCTTCCTGCCGCCTTCCACCTTCGTACATCGTCCTCCTCTACCTCTTGCCCTCCTCTTGTCATCTGTGGCCCTCTGGTCGGCCTTGGACTGAATTTGAAAATTTTGGATATGTACATATGCCCTACAGTTAACAACAACATATTTTGTGCATAATGGCGTCAAAATATTCACCGAAATCAATTAACCGAATGCGCCGCCGCCCGCCAAATCGACAGCACGCTCGCTGCGCTAGCCTCTTCCCTTGACGTGGGTCCGAGCCCCGGTAACCCCTATCTCCCTATTGAGCACTCCCCCGGGCCCTCTGTGCAGCGAGACCACGGCCGGCCGGCTTAGTGAGACTCAGAATTAGAGCACTAGAGTGTGACTGCAAGGCTTGGAAAGGCTTCCAATGGTACCTCATCTTCTACTGCGCTATAGGGTATACCAGAGGCCTTAAGACGCGCAGAAGAGCAAGACTGACTTGAAGTAGATGCAGAAATTACATTTTATGATCCTGTCAGTCTCAAATCCGCAACGCCCGGGCGACTTCAGCTGCTTGGGATACCGATAGGTTGGCACCGCCCGATTCCTTTTTTTCATCATGTGATACTCACACATAATTCGTAGGATGAAGAGGTGCCTTGGCTGAAGAGCAGGATGATAA